ATAAACTGTTTTGTGTTAAAAAGATTGTATGATCTGACCAACAGACGCCTATTGAAAAAAAATACATGATTTCATATTTCAGTTAGGTATAAAATAATGGCTACCTCCTGATATACGTACAGGAAATTGATTGGCAAGCTAGCACCCAATCCAGCTAACAAAAATCACATATTTTAGGGTCCTATATCGAGAACACCTATTTTTGTATGGTCCAGAAATCAGAACATCAGTATACAATTTGTTTGAGATTGGTGAATCTTATTTATCCTCGATTTTCAATTTTCCCACATTCATAAATAGGGATCAATCTCAATTTTTTCATATTCATAAAGAGGCATTATCTCAATTTTTTCACATTCATAAGGAGGCATCAATCTCAATTTTTTCACATTCGTAAATAGGCACCAACTTCAGTTTTCCCACATTCACAAATAGGCAACAATATCGATTTTCTCATATTTGTAAATAAGCATCAATCTCCATTTTTTCACATTTATAAGGAGGCATCAATTTCAATTTTTTCACATTTGTAAATAGTCATTAATCTTGATTATCCCACATTTATAAGTAGACATCAATCTCCATTTTCTCAGATTAAAAAATAAGGATTGAAATCAAGCATCAAATGATCCAAGAGCGTATACATAGGAAATTTGAAAAATTGTATGTAAGAGGGCTATAAAGCAACAAAAATATGGAGACTCTAAGTTGAAGAGCAAAAAAATAGACCTCTGTAATTATATTTATGCATTTAAGATCAAGCATAAGTTGATATAATAAGCTTGATAAGAATGCATTAAATATAAAAGCTCAAACACAGAAGCCAGCACATCTATTTACATTAAAAAACTGTCATTTCCCAAATAAGCCGCCTATATTTGCAATTCCAAAGGATCATACAAGTAACAATAATTAAGGCATATTAGCTTGGATTACGAAGGAGGATTGTGCTAGGCCCTTGACAACTAATGTAAAAATTCATCAAATCTCATGAACATGGATCAATGAAGTAATTATGCTACTGCTAGATTGTTGCCCAGAAATAACACGCTGTATAGCTCAAGTATAGTGAGAAGTGAGCTAGACCCACTACATTTTTGCCCGGATATAGTGTTAAATGAGCAAGAGCTACTGCATTTTTTTGGACAGAGATGGCTAAAGAAGTTGGTTCATGAGAACAAGATTAGATTCGGCACTTGGAATATTGGGACTTTGAGTGAGAAATCTATAAATATAGTAGGAGTTATGAGGGACACAAGGATTAACATCTTGTGGCTCCAAGAAACTAAATGGGCTAGAGAAATTTTTGCAGAATTTGGAGATTATAAAACTTTGGTGCATAGGAAAGGTGAGTGCAAGGAATGGTGTTGGTATCATCATTGATGGAACATGAAAAAAGAATGTGGTGGAGGTTAAAAGGTTTGGGGACAGAATAATATCCTTAAGAGTAATTATTGGAAAGGATACTATCAATATCATTAATCCCTATGCACCTTAGGTTGGGGTAGAGGCACAACTTAAAGATAAGTTTTGTTGGAGGGCTTGGTTCAAAGCATACCACTTGAAGAAAAAAAATTTTATTGGTGGGGATCTTAATGGACATGTCGGCAAAGAAGCAGGACAATTTGCTGGGGCTCATGGTGGTTTTGGTTTTAGGGAGCTTAACAATAGAGGACAATCTATTCTTGATTTTTCTCTTGCATACAATTTCAAGATTGTCAACACTTATTTTAAGAAGCAAGAGAAGTATTTAATCACGTACAAGAGTGAAGCCTCAAAATCACATATTAATTTCTCTTTAGTTAAGAACCTGGACAGAAGACTGTGTACTAATTGCAAAGTAATTATTGGGGATGGGGTGACTTCCCAACATAGAGTACTTATCTTTGATGTGTGTTTTAAGAGTATCAGATAAAAGTATCATCAAGTGGTAAACCCCAAGGTCAAGTGGTGGTAGTTAAAGGGTGAGAAGCGGGAGTTTTTTAAAAAGACCCTTTTAGAGAGAGGGATCTAGGAGTTACAGGGAAATACGAGCATTATATGGGAAGAGATGACTATGAGGGTTCATATGGTTGCTAAAGATATTTTGGGAGAATCTAGATGTCTTAGTCAAAGAGATAAGGAGACTTTGTGGTAGGATAAGAGTATGCAAGAGAAAGTCAGACAGAAAAGATATTGTTTTAAAGCCATACATTTGTATAGTAGTGCAAAAAATTGGAAAGAGTATCGTTTAGCTAAAAAAGAGATGAAGAGAGTAGTGAATGAAGTATGTACTAAAGCTTATGAGGACTTTTATAAAGAGTTAGGAACAAAGGTGAGGGAAAGAAATATTTACAAGATTACGAAGCAAAGAGAGAGAAAAAAGAGAGATTTTGACCAAGTAAAGTGTATAAAAGATAAATATGGTAAAATTCTAGTTATTGCTGGTGATATTAAGGACAGATGTGAGGTTTATTTTTACAAGTTATTTAATGAGGGAAGTGAATGTGCGACTTAGAACTCACAAGACTTGCTAATTAGCAAAGATGATTGGAATTTGGCTTTTTACCACAGGATTTGTATCAGAGAGGTTAAGGCAGCTCTCAAGAAAATAGACAACATGGTAAAGCCGTTGGGCCTGATGGTATTCCTATTGAAATTTGGAAATGTTTAGGCAAGGAGGGTGAATTGTGGCTAACCTTTTAATGAAATTTTACGCTCCAAGAAAATGCTGGATGAATAGAGGAAAAGCATTTTAGTTCCTATTTATAAGAATAAAGAAAATATTCAAAACTGTGCGAGTTACAAAGAGATCAAACTTATGACCCATACGATGAAGTTGTAAGAAAAAGTGATTGAACATAGGTTGAGATTGAAAACTTCTATTTCATAGAACCAATTTGGATTTATGCCAGGAAGATCCATAACTAAAGCAGTCCATTTACTAAGGGGGTTAATGGAAAGATATAGGAGTCAAAGAAGGGATTTACATATGGTTTCTATTGACTTGGAAAAAGCTTATAATCATGTGCCAAGAGAAGTACTTTGGAAGGTCTTGGAAAAAAAAAGTATATGAGTTGCTTATATCAAAGCCATACAAGATATGTATAAGAGGGTAACCACTAGTGTAAGAACTCCTAAAGGTGAGACAAAGGACTTCCCCATTAAGGTTAGCCCACATCAGGGATCTTCTTTGAGTTCTTACTTGTTTAATATTGTTCTGGACGTTCTAACTAAGCTTATTCAAGAAGGAATCCCTAAGTGCATGATTTTCGCAGATGACATAGTCCTCGTGACGGAATCAAAAGAAAAGATTAACTCTAGTTGGAGTTATGGAGAAGGACTTTAGAGTCGAAAGGTTTTCGCTTGAGCAGGAACAAAACAGAATATATGCTTTGCAATTTTTGGTTAAGGCAAGGCAATGGTGATTTGAAGGTGAAGACAAGGGATCATATCATTCTTCAAGTATTAAAGTTTAAATACCTAGGATCCATTGTACATGAGGATGGTGAAATTGATAGAGGTATTTCTTATAGAATACAAGCTGGCCGGTTAAAGTGGAGGAAGGCTACCAGAGTTATTTGCGATAAGAAGGTATCTGAGAAGCTTAACGAAAAGTTTTATCAGACTACTATAAGACCAGGTATGTTATATGGTAGTGAATGTTGGGCAATAATGGAAAAACAAGAGAAACAAGAGCACAAAGTTGAGGTAGTAGAAATGAGGATGTTGAGATGGATGTGTAGTCATACAAGAAAAAATAAGATTCGAAATGAAAATACTAGAGCGAGAGTCGGTGTGGCATCTATCTAAGAGAAAATGGTTGAACATCACTTAAGGTAGTTTGGACATGTGCAGAGAAGGCCATTAGATTAGACTTGTGCAGAGAAGGCCATTAGATGCCCCGGTGAAGAGGATAAATCAGACAGTATGGAGTTTTACAAAAAGAGGTAGAGGAAGATCGAAAAGAACATTCAATGAGGTCATTGAACGATACCAGTGATAAGATATTATTTGGCTCCCAATTTCCAGTTTGTTTTTCGTCAAAAATATTTTGTATTTCAGCAAAAAAAAAATTGTGTGCCAGTGCTTATAAGATAATACAATTTAAAAATAGACTCAATAAATAATTTTACTGGTATTTTAATAAAAAAATGCCCACTTTCTTAAGAAAGCATTTTGTTTATCCCCGTTCTTAACTATAGAGATATTTAGATTAAAATTAAACCATGATTTTAAAAATAAATTTACAATATATATATAATAAATAATTTGTTTTGATCTGTGAAAAAATAATTTTTAAAAAAGCTAAATGATATTTTTGGTCTTTTAATTTTACATAAAGTTTTATTTTGATTTCTTAACTTTAAAAAGTAAATTTTTAGTTTTCGAACCCTAAAAAAGTTAACAAAAATAATGATATTAAACTCTTGAATATTGATAAAACATTATTAAATGTTATAATATTAAATTTAATTTTTAAATCAATCATTATTATTACAAAAAATTATCATTTAAAATTAACTATTTTAAAAGTAAATAATTAAAAATATTTTTTGTAAGAAAATATACACTTTTCCTTTAAAAAGTGACGATGTTCAAACACTCCCTGTGGAGCTAACCGGCCGGCGCCATATACTGCATGCTTCTTTCGCTGGCTTCCTCAGTGCCCTGATCGTTCCTTAATAGAGATTCTGAGAAATTCCACTCTGTAAGTATAAATCTTCGTCTTCCTTCCAGTCATTATACGGCTCCTAGTCTCACCTCATCATCTATCCTTCTTTTTTTTTTTTTGGTTACATGAGGGGCGGGATCGAGCCCGCACATTACCAACACACGCACACACTAGGTGCCACTCCGCCTAGAGGCGGTTGGCTCATCATCTATCCTTCTTGAATGCATTCAGCGTTTATGACAGATAACTTTGATGAAATTATTTCTCATTATGATCGATCGCTGGAAATTGCTTTTCTCAAGATTTTCGGAATCTCTGGTTTCCGCTAATTTCTTCATTCGCAGCCGAGATTTCGGCAAAAAGGTGGAAGAACATTCATTCTTGGCGATTTTCTTATGTCAGTATTTATATTTTTCCGTACTGTTGGTTTTAACTATGATGGGGCTGGCTTGGAATCCTAGTGAACCGAGTTACTAGTTGGTCTTAGTTATGGTCTCCGCTACTTTACGTATAAATAGGTTTTTTGGTAGTTAATGCTATATCATGATTATTGATAAGGGCGAGCGTGACTGGAGAATATCAGGGAAAATTTTTCGGAGAAAGATGGTGCCATCACTGGTTGATCTCTGTGTCAAGAAATGGATCGATAATGTATGGAGTCTGGCAAATGTTGGTGAAATCGACGAGTATCTTCTCGACTTGATGTTGCCTCTCTGCTCTGTGGACCAGTTAAAGTATGTGGAAGGGGCTACTAAAGTAAGATGGACTTATTAAATAAATGTGAGGAGTCTAGTTATGATTGGGAACAACAATACTGAATTGTTTATTTTGATAAGGTTTCGCAGGAAATAGATTTGAGTTCGGTAACGGATAAATTGTGGAGGACGTTTTATGAGGCGCGCTTTGGTAACACCGATGGAGTGATTGAGAAAATGAGAGACAACAAAATTCCATTCAAATGGAAGCAAGCGTATGAGGTAAATTTTTCCCCCTGAATCTCTCAAAGGAGCATGACACAGTTAAGAATTTTTTTTTATAAAAAAAATAATAAATTGCAAATAATTGTGTAACTGAAAGGGTGTTAGTTGTTTTTGGGGAAGAGAACGCTGATTGTTGGCTATTGTAACTTATATAACATTCTTGCAGTATAAAGAGGAGGAGATTAAAGCTCGGGAGAAAACGATGCGACTGCTTCTCAAGAAGGACGAATATGATTGTACGTTATTTACAACTTTACACATTAATCTAATTACTTTTTAGCATGCAATAATTTACAAAGCAGTTAATTGGCATTTATAGTCATTCTTGAGGGCTTTGTCCCCATTTTGGCAATTGGAAAGAACTTAAATTATTTGGAGAAATATCAACAGGGTTAATGTTAGGAACCAGCATCCATATCTGCTTTATTCTAGGAAGAAAAGTGGGATCAAAGGGTAGTTTTTATGTTAGTTATCTATTATGTCATATGTAGGAGTTATATGCAGTTATGTCTTTTTACTATTATTCAGTTTTTCGGAGTTATCTGGTAGTTGTTGCTGACTTGGAGGCTGACCATATAAGCCTATTATGTAAGGACTCTGAGGAATATATGAAGTATTATTCAGAAAGCTATCCCTCTCATCTAGAATTACAGATCCTGGTTCTAGATTCTCCTTTCCCTACCTTCTTTTCTTTTCTCTCTAAAAACTCTTCCCCCTTCTACTGTCCTACCAAGTTAATTTGGGAAAAAATTGATAAACATGTGAATCAGGTTTTACATTTAGGACCAATATCAACTTTTCAATTAGGTCCTATGTTAAGGATTGGAGGAGTAATTTTTTTCTTGGTCTGTTTTCTAATAAAATAATTCACATGACTATGAATGACTATTTGCCATGTATTGTTATTTCCTATCGCGTACCCCCCTTCGAACCTCTAGTTCCTTTTACTATTGGACATTGGTTCTGTGTTTTTAAGATTTTTGGTTGTGTTTTTAAGATGTAATCAAGCTGCATCTTTTTTTTTTTTTTTTGATAATTTTATTGTTGACAATCTGTTGTAGATTGTGGAGCTGGCTACAATAGAATGAATTCACTGGCCAGGGAAGAGATAGACTCTCTAAACAGGTATATTTCTCTCTTTCCTTTGTTCTTTATTTCTTTTCATTTTGTTCTTGACCTGAGACTTCCCAGAATGTCGAGTCAAGTCCAGCCAAAATTAGCAGCTAGATAAGGAAAATGAATTCTACATGCGAAATGCCAGTAAGATAGGGCTCAGGCGCTTGAAGAAATGGATAGTTGGAGCATATGCATGGATGTTTAACATGAAACCTCGAGATTTTGTACATATGAAAGAAGTAGAAGCCCGCAGCTTTTGGAATCACACCTGTGACCGAAAACTGGGAGAAAACATCAGATTATAGAGTATATATGTAGAGAAATAGAGAGTATGACGTTTTCTTTGTTAGAAATTGTAAGGAATGTTCTGGAACCAAAGTTCACTTTGCTTCTCTCTTGGATTTCATCAATATTACGCCAAGCTAAGAAAATATAATGCTTCACTATTCAAGGTTTATTCAGGTAAGTGCCATTTTAAATGCGCACCTTTTACAGTGTCAAGCTGCATTTGGTTTGAAGGAATACGTGGATCATCATGAAGTTTGCATGCCCTACTTGATTTTGACTTCACGTATTTTAAACTTTAGTCCTTAGGTAAAATATCTTGCAGTAGTGAAGAGCAATTCTGTTTAGAAATCATCAAACTGAGAAATTTAAAAATGAACTTCCGGAAGCAATTATGCAACTGTTTTCTTGTTTTATTAGTCGATGTGTTCTAAGATTTCATATTGAAGCTTATATGCTCTGCTGGATTTCGGCTTCAAGTATTGTAAAAATTTTTACAGTGAAGAAGAAGAAGATGATGATGATGATTATGATGATGAGGTGGTGGTGGATGAAGAATCTGATGTTGAAGGAGAGGTTTCTGTTGAAGAGGTAGAGGAGGATGAAGAAACTGAAACTGATATTGAAGAAGTTGTAGAGAAAGAGGGAGAAGTTTCTGCTGAAGAGGTAGAGGAAGTGGAAGAAGAAGAACAAACTCAGATTGAAGAGGGAGAAGATGATAGTGATGAGAGTGAAGCAGGGCAAGAAGATTGTGGTGGTGGTGATTGTGATGATGATGGCTATGATGACGATTATTATGATGATGACTACGGCTACGATGATGATTATGGATGTGATTACGATTGTGATGAATATTAGCTTCCTGTGATAAACCTCTTGGATAGACCTAAAGCTTTCATGTTAGTTGTTGTTGTTGTTTTTTTTTTTTTAATATTGTAAATACAAATTATGCCGCTGACTAATTTTTTTAGATTTTTCACTTGAAGGTAAGTAATACAAGCTTGTTAAGATTTTAAGGAAAGTGTTTTGTTTATTATTTCTAGAAAATTAAAGGAAAAAAGTAGTTTTTAATCGCCCAGTTTTATTGGGGGAAAAATTGCCCAATTGGTTGGGTTGTCCCAAATTGACAAATTCGGTATGATCTCCTCCCGAACTTAGAAGAGGTTAAGCTGGACTCTGGGCATGAGCTATGGCCAGGTCCTATTCCCAGAAAAATGTTGAACCCTCAATACCTTCAAAAGTTTAACGGTGAGATGATTTGGAAAGTTGAAGTCTCTGTTTCCTTTGGATTGCCCATCCATGATAGCCTACCAGAGTAAGGTTTCTTGAGCATTAGTGACTGTGAGGAATTGGAGGAACTTGTTGAAGAGAAGGGAGAACAGCAGAATAATGAACCCAATACCAAAGTATCAGGATGCTTCTGGAAGCTGAAAAAATTAGTGGTGAAGAGGTGCAACAAGCTGGAAAGACTCTTTCCTGCGTCAATAGCTAGAGATTTTGTATATATCAGAGGCTGCTGAGTTTAAAGAACTGTTTAGTCGGAAAAGTGAAGGGGCAAAATTATTGAAGTTTTCACTTATTCTCATACCCCCCACCCTGCAAATGAACTGCGTGAGTTGGGTAAAGAATTAAGGACAATTGCCAGTAACTGGTACATTTTCTGGCTGCTTCTTTAGTGCTTGGTCTTGCTTGGCAATGCTTATCACTGATATTTGCCCATATCTTAATGTAATTATTTTTAAAATTAATTTTATTATCTTTTAAATAAAAGTTTTTATATATCTTTGTTGTTATTTTACATGTTTATCAATTTTTTAAATAGTCAATATCTAATTAAAATATATTAATGAACAAAGCAGAAAACACCAAAGAAAGAAAAAGGCTTTTTAACGTAGATTTCGCGAAATTAGAGCTGTAAATTTTTTTCCCTTCTGGCTTCATAACTGTAGATTCTTTTTACTTTATTCAGCAACATTGTTGGTTTTACCGTAGATAAATACAGTACTCTTCTGGTCCTAAATATAAGACCCTTATACAAACTTGTATAAGAGTCTTATATTTAGAACCGGAGGAGTATTATAGTCATGATAATTATATCTCTCCAAATATTTTCTCATAAACGAAATATAGCAAAATACCCATATCAAAGGGGAGAAAAAGTATTCTTTAAAAAGTAAAAGGGCAAAGTGGGGAAAGCCATCAATACTCCAAGGGGCAATACAGAGCTGCGCATGTACGTACAGCAACAAAATGGAAAGTTACATGAAAAAATCTCAACATATATTGATATGTGTGTGGGCAAATAATAAATTGGAATTTTATTTATTTAAGTCCCACCAAGTTTCATTGTAAAAGCCTTGAGGTAGCTAGTTCATCATGAAGTGGCATTTCCCAAAACCTGCACCAATGAACATCCATGTGAATCATTATTAGATATTAGATATTTTGATAACATCTCGTCATTATTGATTTAAAATAAATAAATATATAATTGATATGACATATTACCAAAAATAAACAAATTTTTAATTTTTTTAAAAAAAAGACTTACTCGGATCAACGGTGACAAGCATAGCAGTGCCTCCAAAATCACAAGTGCCTCCGGACGCTTTCCTGTTCTGCCAATAACTGTTGAAGGCATACGAAGCATGGGCCAGCATCGAATTGGGCTCATAGCACGGCCCATTAGGCTGAATCTCCTTGCAATCCGCACCTGACCCACACGCATAATCCATGGCCTGTTTGATTATCGCGTCAGGAACAGTAGGCTTCGCAACACACCAGTGACCCGAAGACTGCGGCTTTTTATTATGCGGTGGGGGAGGAGTCGATGTGGTTGTGCCCGACGGCGGAGGTGTGTAACCATTAGGAGGCGAATAAGCCATTGGTGGGCTTGGGCGAGTCTTTGGTGGGCTTGGGCCGTGCTTTGAATGTGGGCTTGGGCTTTGAGAGTTTTGGGGAGGGGGAGGTGGGTGATGCTCATGAGGAGGAGGGTGCGAGATGGGGGAATATTCAGGGAGACTTGGAGGTGTGAGCACCGGAGAGTATGGAGAAGAAGAAGACGAGGTTGGCTGAGGAGCCTGTGAACTGGACGGAGGTAGTGATACAGAAGAAGAAGAAGAAGGAGAGCCATAGGAATCATCAAAGTTTGAAAAGCTGAATAATGGGGAGTTAATGTCTCTGGGGTCTAAGAAGTGTTTGAGAGATTTCAGATTCTTCCATGGCTTGCTGGAGGAGGAGATTCTATGGTTTAATTTGATGTTTAAGAATATCTGACCATGGCTTCTTGTATCTGCGAATCAAGACAAGAGTTTCATAGGAATGAAGAAGAGAGAAGCTGTTATAGGCTTATTAACACTAAATAAACTTCATTGACGTGAACTAAACTAAAACTAGGTTCTGTACGTTGCATGGAGTTCAAGAAGTGAGCTTGCATGCTGAACATCTATGTTAATTTAAGAATATTAAGAGAAATGGAAAACTTGGTTTTCTTAAAAGGGAAATTTTAATGCAATACGTTCCTTTTTTTCCTATACATATATTTTTTTTTCTTGAAAAAAATCTGATATCTTCTTTCTACTTTTCTCTTGCTACTGACTTGAGAGAATATAAGTTCTTAATTTTAAGGACATTTTCATTTGAACTGTGCCATGCATAATTAATCAAAGTGTCAAAGATACACGTAATAAGAGCAAACCAATAGAGTGCAAGCAATTACAGAGTTTTAGATCCCACAGAAAGTAAAAATTGCGGAATTAAACAAGCAAAATCATATAATGAACGCATAACAACCCATCAAATTTTTTTTTAAAAAAAGACGAAACTGGCACAGCGGTGAAACTTACCACAAAGAAGGACAATAGAGGAAGCGACGAGGAAGAAACATAGAATTGCAATGCTGAGTCTGAATCTCAGTGACTGATCTCTTGTTGAATCCATTACTGCATTATCATCAATATACCCAAAATAACTTTTGAGTATTATATCGAAACCTCACAAATTTGCAGTTCAAGTTTGCAAGCAAGCTTGGATTCTGCCCCTATCTGAAGCAAGAAAAGACGCTTAGCAGAGAAGTGGAGTTAAAGGGTACACACATATATGTAGGTGCAATAAAGTGGGAAACTATTCAAAAAGATGATATTCATTCTCACTTTAATTTTGGCGCCTGTCTGATTCTTATTGCTGGTTATAAGCAAGTAACAGTGTGCAGCAAAGTGTGTTTCAGTCCAGAAACTATAAAATTCAAGTGATTTAGTTACTTTGTCTGGGGGAATATGTTCGTTATTATACACACTCACTTTATTTTGCTTGTATGCCACTCAAAGTACTAGATCTAGAGACATACATGATCAAGTGTAATCTAATTACTTTGCCCATCCGGCTTCCAGAAACATGTATATAATTAACCAATACTCCGTCCTTTCTTTCTTATGAGATCCCTTTAACTAAATCATGCAGTTTAAGAAAATAATTAAAATTATTTAAAAGCAATAGATATATAAAATTGAACTTTTATTTTTAAGTATGTTCTTATCTAACAAGGGAGAAAATAAGAGAAAGAAATACTAGCAATGAGATAAATGATGATATGAGAAAAAGATGAGAAGAGAGTAGTATAATCACTGCATGAGAAGAGATATTTATGTCACTAATAATGAAATATTAATTGCTTTCTGTTGGTTTTTTGTTTTACTTGTTTACTTGCATTTATTTAAGTTATTTTGACATTATATTTGTTGTTCTCTCTACTATCATCATCTATTCATCCACCTCATAGGTTAGGAACATAAAAAGGAATTACCAAAAATATACAAAAAGGAAAAAGGAAAAAGAAAAACAACATTGCCACTTTGAAGCGATAGAAATCAGGGCCTAACTTGGTGAATGGCCCACTTAACAAAAAAAAAATTGACTGGGCTGGGTTCACATAACCTTGGGTTAAGGTTAATTTTGTTTAACCTACAAGGTAGCCCATCTTTTTAGTCAAATCTGAAGGGTTTATAATACTCCTCCGGTCCTAATTATAAGACCCAATTGACTTATTTGAGGAGATTAAGGAAGTAAGTTAAGTTGGCTATTTATAATAAATAAGTGTTGTTATTCCTAAAATATCCTTACTAATTAAGTGTATTGGCTAAAACTATCATTATTAGAATGATTATCTTAGAAAAAAATGCATAAATATAAGAGAGAAAATGGATTGGGTCTTATAATTAGGACCAAATAAAAAGTCAAATTGGGTCTTATAATAAGGACCGGAGGAGTAATACTCATCCAAATCATCATTCTTGTTCAAAATCTATGCTTTGTATTGTATAATGTGCCTGCCAAAACATTAAACGCCCAAGCATTGCCGTTTCAGCCAAATCAATTCTACCTGTTTGACCTTAAACCCATAAGCTAATGATAATGAGCACCCAATCTGATGTTCAACGATAAGGTGAAAATATGAATATAATTCATTTATTAAAAAAATTATATATTTATATCAAGAAGTACAAAAATTTTATATAAAATATTTGAATGATCGAAAAGAAAGAAACATACCAAACATATACATCCTCAAATAGATGCACCGAGACGGCACTTGATTGATGAATGTCAATAATTTTGTCTGTTCCTCCCCCCCCCCCAAAAAAAGAACAAAAGAAAATTCAACGTAGACACAGCAAATGGTTGTGGAATCCATCATTTGACTATTATATTAGTCGTTTTTTAAGTCGAAAATATCTATATATAGTACATACCATTTACTCGTACTATACCAGCGGTTTAATTCTGAAATCTCACAGTGTCTTCCATTAATTAAAAGACATGGAGGTTTCTAAGTTTTTCTTCCTTCAGGCTTTCTTCTTCTTCCTCCTCATTGCATCAACTCAAGCTTCCCCCACAAGCATCTTTCGAGAATACATAGGAGCTGAGTTCAACAATGTCAAATTCTCCGATGTCCCTATCAACCCAAATGTGGAGTTTCACTTCATTCTCTCTTTCGCTATTGACTATGATACCTCCTCTTCTCCTTCTCCAACCAACGGCAAATTCAACGTTTTCTGGGACACTCAGAATCTTAATCCCTCCCACGTTTCTTCCATCAAAAGCCAGAATTCTAATGTCAAGGTACGTACTTTACATAACACGTAAAATCACTTTATATTACTCCTTCGATTCTTAATATAAGACCCATTTAATTAATTTGATTAGATTAAAAAAGTTAGATAAGTTAATTAATTATAAGTAAAGTGACACATTTTTCTTAAAATACCATAATCGTCTTTTTTAATATCTCCTCTCCCTCTTCTACTTGATTATGGTTGAGGGAGTATTCATAGGGGTAATTTAAAGAAAATTAATAACTATGAGAAATGGGTTTTATATTTAGAACCAAAATCAACTCAAAAATTAGGTCCTATATTAAAAACCGGAAGAGTACTATAGTATGAACATCAAATCAATTGTGGTGTGTGTGTATTGATTTGCTTCAGGTGGCTCTGAGTCTGGGAGGAGACAGCGTCGGAGGTGGTCATGCATACTTCGACCCATCTTCCATTGATTCATGGGTTTCCAACGCAGTTTCATCACTCACAAACATAATCAAACAGTACAACCTAGATGGTATCGACATCGACTACGAACACTTCAAATCAGATCCAAACGCTTTCTCTGAGTGCATCGGACGCTTAATCAAAACCCTAAAGAACAATGGCGTCATCAAGTTCGCTTCAATCGCTCCATACGACGATCCCCAAATTCAGAGCCATTACAAGGCTTTATGGAACAAGTATGGGAACCTCATAGATTACGTCAACTTTCAATTCTATGCGTATGATAAAGGAACAAGCGTGTCTCAGCTCATTGATTACTTTAACACACAGAGCAAGAATTACGAAGGAGGGAAAGTTTTGGTGAGTTTTATAAGTAATGGAAGTGGAGGGTTAAGTCCTGGAGGTGGATTCTTCACAGCTTGTCATAGGCTTAAGAGCGAACAAAAGCTTCATGGGATCTTTGTTTGGTCTGCGGATGATTCCATGGCTAATGGTTTCCATTACGAGAAACAGTCACAAGCCCTTTTAGCAACTTCAAACTAGGGGCTTTGTTGTGGGTATATGTGTGTATATATTTATGTTAAACATGTATACTTCTTCGGCACTTAATATAAAATTTATTATATTTGTAATTTACATTACAAAATAAGTTCTTATTTAGTACTTGAATAACTATTAGGTATCTACTGCTACATGTATGTATCTTATATATGTGTGTGTGTTTCTGCGTGAATATATTTATGATTAAGGAGTTATGTTACTGGGCATTGGATCCTTCCTTTTCTCCTTTCGTCTGCTTTTTGGGGTTTGTTTAATAATCGCGAGTGGGAGATATTTGATGTGCGACATGTGAGCGGCAGACACTATTACTGGGGCTTAGGTTTTGTTCCTTTCATAGAATATCTTTTTTGGCTAGACTTATACGACATTGGGATCTGCGTGAGATGCCTAACTATTTTCTATGCAATAATAATGCTAATTAACAATTGCTCCTTTCAAATCAAGCACTCCCTTGCCAATTGGGACGTGTGTAGTAATAGTAATACTAGTTTCTCTTCTTAATACAAAATTTATTTAACTAATTTAGGAAGATTAAAAAAATAATTAAATTAGTCATTTATCAAAAAGATGTGTTAATTTCTTTAAAATATCCTCTTAAATCTTAAATCATGGTAGTATTAATTATTTATGAGTTAAGGGTCATTTTTGGCTTTAAGTATCTCAACGAAGGAGTTAGGGAAGATTTTATTTTTGGACCACCGTAACTAATTAATATCAATCAACATTCAAAATATTTTAAAATTTCAGTCAACTCTCTTGGACCAAAATAAAATTAAATAATACTCTTTCATTTTATTTTTAAAAAAATAAATATTAATTGTCAACGGAACTCTAGCCACTAGTGCTTGTGACCACCAAGCCAATCAAATTATTTAGTCATATGGTGCAAAAAATATATATACTATCTCTGGTCCTAATTATAAGACCTCGTTTACAGTCTTATAATTAGGACTGGAGGTAGTATATATAATAGAACAAATGCAAGTATCCAAATATAAGTGAACGATTGAAATTCAATAATTTACAAATAAAATTTAGTAATTTACAATAAAAATTTGGTGATTTATAAATAAAATAATGAAATTCATAACCTCAAATGTAAATGTTTGGGTGTGAATGAGAAAGTGAAATTCGAATGTTTATAACAAAAAATTAATGATTTACAACTGAAATTTGACTATTCACAAGAAACATAAATGAACTCACATCCCCAGATGTAAGTATTTAAGTATGAATGAATAAGTGAAATTAAACGATTTACAATAAAAATTTAGTAACTTACAATCCAAATTCGATGATTCATAAAAATTATAAACGCTTGTATTTGATGTTGTGAAATATAAAAAAATCCACTGGCCACCGAAACTCCGATGACAATTAATATATATTTTTAAAAAAAATAGAAAAGGGTATTATTGTAATTTTATCCTTAAATTTTAATTTTATTTTAGTTTCAGGATTGAATGAAATTTTAAAAGGTTTTGAGAGTTAACTAATATTAATTAGTTACAGTGATCTAAAATGAAATTTTTCTTAAGGAGTTATGATTATTCAGAATTTTTTTCCTAACTCGACATTACTTCAAAAGTGCTGAGAAAAACAACAATGCCTTCCTTTTCCGATAACAACCAACGCTAGTCTTTTAACGAAAATAGCTAATATTTTTTTAATTTCTAAGATGGTGTTTGAGTAGAAACCAAACCATAATTTTAAAAGTGATTTTACGATATACGAAAGAAATATATGAAGAAGTCTATTTTGATTTGCCAAAAAATACCTTTTAAAAATACTTTTGGGTATTTCCAAATACTCCATAACACTTTTGTTCCAATAACTTGCCTGTTTGGGAGGGCTTAATTTGGCCCATAAGTAGCTTATTTGGGACAGAAGCACGATTGAAAAATCATATCATATTTTGGAGGGCTTATGACATATTGGGCCTGTCTTTTATAAGCTGGATCACCATGCGTTTCAAATTAAGCTAGAAGGAGGAGCTTATTTGAAGAGCTTATTCAGCTATTGGACCGTTGTGTGGTGGTATGTCAGAATTTATTCCCCTCTTTATTTTTCTCTCACTTCTAGCGTCATTCCCTCATTATTCACTTTTGTTTTTATTACCAAAGCTCTCATTAGTCATTACCCATGACTCGTCTCTTCTTCCGCCCAACGAACTCCGTCACCTCCTCCCCAGTAGTTCTGTTGCTGGTCATCATGAGCTCCATCGCGTCTCCGACTTAAGGTCATCATGTTGGGTGTGAGGTGTGCGTGGCCTGCTAGAGCCCGTTCCTTCATCACAACTTTGAAGCTATTGCCTTGTCTGAGTTGCTATCGCTGTCTCCAACCGAGGTCGCCCTCATCTGCTGGTGCATGTGAGTTGTGCGTGGAGATCTTAGCGTCCCAGTACAATACATTGTCGAATCTGCCTCTGGCAGCCTTTGGGTGGTTTGATCTGTTACAGGTTAGCCGGTTTTTTTTTGTCTTGCTTTTTCTGTTGGACTCAATGAATATGGAGGGAAATGTGATTGACCTAAACATCTAGAGTTGTGTGTGCATTGATCTATGCGTTAGCTAATGTGGTTAACGGTTTTGATCCCCTATTCTTGCCTGAAATTTACCGTCGTCCCTACTCTCCGTGAATGATGTCATTCTCGTCACCGGTGGAAGCTTGAAAATGTAACCCATTTCTGGTTCAACCGTTCTCTTTCATCCTGGTCGTGTTTCCTATGCAATCTGCTCTCTTTTTTTCGTTCTATTTTTTGTAGTGCTCTGTTTCTTCCTCTGATCGATAGTTGCTTGAATTGCTCCGCCATATACTCGGTTTAATCATCTTCTCCCACATGTTTAATTGGTGGATTAATGCATTGGATTAATTCATTGGATTAATGCATTTAACTATCTGTTGAAGGATCAATCTATATATGGCTAGATAGTTGACATTCTAAGCTACAGATTTGGTGTTGTATATTGTATCCTGGGTTATTTGTCATCAGTATCATACTGTGATGATCATTCTGGAGATGTGATAGTGTATATGTGATTGGATTTTGTTTTATTATTCTGGGTTTTTTGTTTAATCTAGAGATGTATATTGTATACTAATCATTCGGTTGCTATTCGGGTGGGGTAATAAAATTATAAATCTATGTGGAAAGAGGAGTAGCCAAAATTGGTTCAAATGTACTTTCATTTAAGTGAGAAATTTTGTTCAAATTTGGTTGAAATTTGACTGAATTTGAGTCAGGTACTATTAGTAGAAGAGGCTTTTTTTAACCTTTAAAACAATAGAATGAAATAAGAAATATAAAATTCAATGGGAGAAATTGGGATTTTACATAATTTAAATAAATAAAAATTTTAACAATCATCATCAATGTGAATCATCAATTGATATTAATATAAATTTATTAATATCATATATAAAATTAAAACCAAAGTTGATGTTGTTTTTGCGGCTGTGTTCAAATAATTTACAAACCTTTCTTTTTTTACTTCTAAAAATTTGGAAAAAAAAAATTACACATTGAAATTGAGGTGGGCACGTTGTGTTAAAAGGTATATTTTATTACTTGATGATAATATTTGGAATTTTGATAACAAAACCATGTATAATAATATTAGGAAAATAACACGCAATTTTTGAGATTATTTATGTCTTATGATTTCTTCTGTAATTTAGCTGAGAAGACTATGCAAATAACATATATTTTTGTTTGGATACAATGTATTTCTTACATAATATAGCTTTTATTTAAAAAAATTTTGGGCTTTGCTTGCTTCAGGTAGTCTTATCTTGATTATTTTTCATAAAGAAATGGATAATGATAAAGGAAAAGCGACATGGAATCCTTACACAACTAAAATTCTAATCAATGTTTATGTCAAGAAAATACTACAAAAGGAACATCAAGGAACATCGTTTACAAAGCCCGATTAGAGTAAAATTGAAAAGAATTTTAAGGAAAGGGACGGGAAAAATTATGACAGGAAACAACTGAAGAATAGATTTGACATATGAAGAAAAAATTGAAAGTTGTGGCAACCACTGATGTCTAGAAAGACTAGTATTGGTTATGATACAACCACAAATAAGGTGTTGGTCTTGATGAGTGGTGTCAACGAAAATTACTGTTAACTATTTGCGTTGATTGAGTTTTAATTTTGAATATCACTTCAGACATTGCTTAATTCTGCCTAATTATGTTAATACAGGTAAACCCCAATTTCAAGAAATTTAGGCATCAGGGGTTGATGTTTGCATCAGATTTGATAAAAATATTCAAAGATGTTATGGCTTCGGGACACTATATGTATGTACCATCAGCCTCAGCCTCAGCAGGCACCTACTCCACAAGCTGACACAGAAGAGAGGAGGATGTTTATAGACTCGAGCTGGACCAAGAAGAAGGGTCAGGGGATAGTGAGAATGAAAATTTTGGTGTTAGGTCAATAGCCAGTACAGGGGTAACATAAGACTTAGCCGGTTGTAACATAAACAACCTTGCGAGTAGTGGACCAGTGGTTCAGGAAGCTATGGAAAAAGGAAGAAAGGTGAGACGTCTGATGCAAACAAGGAAAAAAAGTTCCTGCCTCTACTAAAATTGTTGATAGGCTCAATGTTATCGTAGTTGCTTCTGAGTAGTGAGCAACAACATTGAATGATGATCCCCATTTAGTTGACAAGGTTTTGGCACACCTGGCTGACCTTAAAGAACTTAATGATGACGATCAACTATATTATGCATGTACTAAGATGCTTACGCAGTTGACGTGGGTAGGCGAGCTTATTTGACACTTATGCATAATAAACGCAAGTTGTTGATGTGGTTCATACCAACAGCACAAGACCTAGACACATGGAAGGGATCTACAATTTAGGACTTACTTATTTCACTATTGCTATTGTACTTGTTAACTTGAACTGATTTCTGTTTTACCATCAACTGAAGTGGCCTGTTGTAGGAACTTAATTAATGAGTATGTAATATATTTGCTAATTTCTACTTGTCATTTATGTGTTTGGGTTATCTGTTTATAGTATGAAAAATATTTACTTCCTTGTTATAATGCTTACACTTTCTTCTGATCACAGTTATAGGGTTAATTGTATAATGGCCAATTGGAATGATGATTCACCATGGAATGAAGATACTTTGGAGAATTGGAATAACGATTCATGGTGGAATGAAGGGAATATAGATGACCATTCAACATGATTATCCATGATTAATAATGAATTAACACAATATGAAGCAGTAGATACATTGGTGGGTCATTATTGTGAAATATATATGTTTCAACAGCCCTGCTTAGCAGACAGGAAATTTATGGTTGCAAGGTATTTTGGCAAGTCACAATGATTGATGTCATAAAATGTTTAGAGTGGATAAACGTATTTTCCACCTCTTATGTGCTAAATTGGAGGAACATGGTTTACGCAAGTCTAAGTATGTAGGAATTGAAGAAATGGTCGCGATGTTTTTAAACAACGTTGCACATGGACAATGCAATAGGATGATCCTAGAACGATTTCAACGTTTAGGGGAAACTGTAAGTAGACTGTTTCATAATGTACTGCAAGCTTGCCTTAATCTATCAAGTAGACTTATTCAACCTGTAGATCCTACAACCCATAGAAAAATTGAGAATGATCCCCATCAGTATCCATTTTTTTAAGGACGCAATTGGAACAATTGATGACACTCATATACCGTGTGTTGTCCCTACTGCAAAACGAGACAAATTTATTGCCAGAAAGGGAATTCTAACACAAAATGTCATAGCTGCATGTGATGGGAATATGTGTTTCACTTTTGTGTTGGCAGGATGGGAGGGATCTGCACATGATGCTCATGTATTTGACAATGCTATTACAAATTCATCTCTAAATTTCCCTCATCCACCTCCAGGTATATATTTATAAGTTTCAATTAAGCTAATTTTTAATTATTTTATATTTTTATTCATTTTACAATGTCACAAATTGTTTCACAAATTATTAGGGAAATATTACTTGGTTGATGCGGGATATCCAGCACCAAATGGATACCATGGTCTATACAGATATGAGCGCTACCATCTTCCAAAATTCTGACGACAAGTAGGATTTTGAAATAGTGACAAAACCTTCAATTATTATCATTCCAGTTTAAGATGCATAATAGAAAGAACATTCAGTGTTTGAAAGAATAGATTACAAATCTTATGAAATATGTGTAGTTACGACTTCCAAACTCAAGTGTACATGGTTTGTGCAACAATGGCCATTCATAACCTTATAAGGAGACATTTAAGCTCTGACACCATTTTCGTAGAAGCTGAAAATGGTGATATACTTGGTGAGCATGATTAGGCTGAAGTTGGTCAACTATCATCTTCAAATGTAACATCATAGTCTTCATCGCATATGAATCGCGTCCGTGATGCGATTAGAGACCAAATTATCCATAGTTTATCAATTAATTAATTATGTGATATTATTTCGTTTCACTTGTCACAATACAATGAACTGGGATTCAAAACATTTTTTTTCATTCAAATTATGTTTCGCTTTATATTTGCAATAATTTTTTTTATTTCTCTAATTTTTCAAATTTAATTCACTCATTAAATTTCACTTCTTTATATTAAATTAATTTAAATTCATTGTATTATGCAAATTTATTTTTTTAATCATGTTTCACTTTATATTTAAAATATTTTTTATGATTTCTCTAAAGTTTTAAAATTTAATTCACTCCTTAAATTTCACTTCTTCATATTAAATTAATTTAAATTCGTTGTATTATGTAAAATCATTTTTTAATCATATTTCATTATTTATTAAAAGTCATACTCATTTTGGTAATTTTACAAACATACTTATTTTTATTCAATCATAATCCAAACAACTTTTTATTAATCTCACTTTTACAAACTAATTTTTTAAACTTTAATCCAAATACAATTCATCTTACCCAATCTTACTTTTATAAAAGTCAAATTAAAAATAAACTATTTTTTTCACCACCAATCCGGATCCAACATCTGTAGCTTCTCAGTTCTCAAGTTTTGCTTCTTTTAGCTTGGGCTTTCTTCTTCCTCCTCGTCAGGCACGCATCAACAGATGCGTATCCCTTTGCTGGATATGAAATTCTGTCGTGTCACACTCAACCCAAATTAACTAAAACTTCAATAATATCAATTCATTCTGTCTTTTTCTATTGACTACTAGGCCTCTAATTCTCCACGTCTCCCACCAATGCCCATTTTTTTGGACGATTCCTTGAATATTTGAGAAAATCTAAAAAAAAATGTCTATTAAATTTTAAAATTTTAAATTAATATTGGTTATTATATTTATAAAAAAAATAACAACATATTTTTATAGTAATTTATTATTTAAAATTTTAAAATTCAACTGTCATTTTTTAGAGATTTTTTCTAATTATTTTCCCTCTTTATAATAAGAGAAATGTATTAAAATATCAAAAAGTTTAGTACATCCTGAGGAAGGACATCGATCCCTTCAGTTTTCTAAGTTACAACGTTATTATTTTCTTTTTTAAATGGCAATTATAAAATTGCCTGCTTGCTTCGTTTAACTTAAAATTTTATGTAACTAGCAGCTACAGTTCTGATTGGGATTAGTCATAATAGTTTGTAGTCCCCCCAATACCAGCTGGAAAAGTTGAAAAAAGAAAAAGAAATAAAGAAATAAAGAAAAAAGTATAAGTCATACTTTGCAATTTGCATCCTTCCAGGTAACATATTCCTCACGTGTTTGGTCCACACTCTTTAATTTGATCGCTGTATTTGTTGAATATTATTGAATAGTTCGGCTCCGCTGCTTGCACAGATTTCTTCTATCTCTATCTTCCTCACTTCTCACCCCAGTCTAAAATATTAAAATAAATTCGAAGGACTTAGACTTAATATGTTGTTTTTCAAAACAAAATATATACTACCTCCAATCCTTAGTATAAGACCCTGGTTGACTTTTATTTTGATCCTAAATATAAGACCCCAATCCACTTTGTCTCTCATATTTACTCAATTTTTTTCAAGATAGTCCTTCTAATAATTATAGTTCTAGTTAATATACTTGATTAGCAAGGATATTTGAGGAATGACAACACCTATTTAGGACAATTAACTAACTCAACTTACATCCTTAATCTTCTCAAATTAGTCAACTGGCTCTTATAATTAGGACCAGAGGTAGTATTATGTGAATTTCAAAACTTAAAATAGAGAAATTAATGCATTTAAATTATACACATTTGATTTGAATTGAACAATAAAGAAAAGAAAAGAAAAGGAGGAGCATTATTAATACTTCTTTTTGACCAGGAACATCGTTACTACTTAGAGGAGGTAGGTCATACACACACGCACGCACACACATATATATCGACCCTTATATTGATGATTACCACCAAGTTGGGGCAAGAAAGTTGAAAGACTGTGCTGAAATAGCAATATTTTGCTTTTCAATAACAAATGAAAAATCAAATGCATTTATTACTCTGGCTATGGTGTTATAATTTCATAAGAACTTAATCCGAAGTTAAGAATATGTATCAAAACTGAAATTTGTTCAAAGTATAGGAACTATTTGTTAAACTCAAACTATGAAGCTATAAAATTATAGAGATCAAAACTAACAAGTTAAAACTAAGGAGAGTAAAATCAAAATTCAATAAAATTATAAGGACTAAAAATAATAATACTAAGCCAAAGAAAAGCCAAACGCACGTCTCACTGAAGCTGTGTGGTCCCGTGGGATCTTGATTATTATCCACCACTTTAGGTGATACCAATCTCTCTCTCTCTCTCTATATACATACATACATATGTATATCTACATTGTATGGGCGCACTCTGGTTGTGCCTATAATTAGTGATAGGAGTTTCTGAAATCTACAGCTCTCAATTATTGAAAGAAAGGCATGGAGGCTCCCAACTTCTGCTTCGTTCAAGCTTTTCTGTTCTTGTTCTTCCTTCTTGGGGGATCTGCACAAACATCCTCCTCAGGCATATTTGGAGAATACATAGGAGCAGAGTTTAAGAATGTGAAATTCTCCGATGTCCCTATCAACCCCAATGTCCAGTTTCACTTCATTCTCTCCTTCGCCATTGACTATGATTCCTCTGCTTCTCCTTCTCCTACCAACGGCAAATTCAACGTTTTCTGGGACTCTGGCAATCTTAGCCCCTCCCAAGTTTCTTCCATCAAATCCCAACACTCTAATGTCAAGGTGCTAATTAAATTCTTCATTTGAATTCTCTTTTTTGTCTTCAAAAATTTCATGAATCTCTCATTCTTATATCAAGTACTCCTCTGGTCCTAAATATAAGACCCTTATACTACTGTGTATAAGGGTCTTGTATTTAGGACCGGAGGAGTATATACATGTCTCAATTGATTGCGAACCGTGATTCATTTGTTTTTTAATTATATCTGTGGGTTCTCATACTGTACACAATTTGAAAATAACAAGTGCTATTATTAAGGATTTATAATGATTAAGAGATTGCCATGATAACTAAAGCTATTTTGTTTGAATTTACAAGAGCAACTGGATATGTTGCCTCTTTGAACAAGTGTTATAAAGTCAACTGTTTTATGGTCCAATAGCATAAAAACTCCATTATGAGTGAAACATTACCAGCTCGATTCTGCTTATAGCTTCATCTAGCTATCCTTCTAATTATTTAAAAAAAAAAAGTGTCATGAATCACAAGAACAGACCAATTTGCACAGAGAGCTAACTTTGGACAAACCCAAATACTTTGGGTGAGATTTGCAGAAACTCACCATTTAGAGAGATCTCAGTTCCATGGTCCAAGAAAAAGAAAAAAAAGATAGATCTCAGTATCTCCGCTTAATTTGAGCAGTACTGATTGGATCATGAAAACCTATCATTGAACACACAAAAATAGAGCATGGAGAAACTGAAATTTGATTTGTTTCAGGTGGCCGTAAGTCTAGGAGGTGACAGCGTGGGAAACAAACCAGCCAAATTTAGCCCATCTTCCATTGATTCATGGGTGTCCAACGCAGTTTCATCACTCACAGCCATAATCAAACAGTACAACCTCGACGGAATCGACATCGACTACGAACACTTCAACTCAGATCCAAACACCTTCTCTGAATGCATCGGGCGCCTAATCAAAACCCTAAAATCCAACGGAGTCATCAAGTTCGCTTCCATCGCTCCATACGACGATCCCCAAGTTCAGAGCCATTACAAGGCGTTATGGAACAAGTATGGGAACCTCATAGATTACGTCAACTTCCAATTCTATGCATATGATAAAGGAACGAGCGTGTCTCAGTTCATTGATTACTTTAACACACAGAGCAAGAATTACGAAGGAGGGAAGGTTTTGGTGAGTTTTATAAGTAATGAAAGTGGAGGGTTAACTCCAGGAGGTGGATTCTTCACAGCTTGTCAGAGGCTTAAGAGCGAACAAAAGCTTCATGGGATCTTTGTTTGGTCTGCTGATGATTCCATGGCTAATGGTTTTCGTTATGAGAAACAGTCACAATCCCTTTTAGCGACTTCAAACTAAGGGCTTTGTTTTGTGTATCTATATTTATCATGCGTATTATGTATCTGCTGCTACATTAGCTATATCTTACATCTGTGTTCGTATTAATGAGTGTGTGTGTGTACGTACATGTACCTTTCTCTCCATAAATAGAGTTATGATAAATGGGTTATATTGTTGGGCATATTGGACTCTTTAAGTATTCTAAAAAGATTTTGCATTGGGTTAAGAGTGGACCTGAGCTTTTTGACTCGGATGATACCTACGTTAAGTTCCTTATATTCATTATGTCAAATTCTCTAATTATACATAATCTTATGTCCTATTTTTTAAATATTAACATTTAATAGCATTTAATTATAGATTCATATTAAACAAAAAAAGACACATGAGTATACGTGTGATTGAAGAACTTAGTATAATGGATATGAGTAACTTGTGTTATGTTCTAATAATTCAATAATAAAGCAAATAGCAATAACAAATAGTGAACTAGAAATCTGGATATATTATTAATATTGGCGTATATGAACATTTACAAACAAACAATCCAGATACAGAAATATCAATCGCAGAAATATAAAAGATCTCATAAACAAAACTCACTAGAGGGGACAGAAGGAGGAAGAAGTACTGCCAAAAGAGAGAAATCTAGAGGGAGGAGTTAGAAAATAATCACCAAAACCCTGCCTTGCTCTCACCCCTCTAACGACCTTATATTCTCTCAATTTTCCTTCAACTTTCAGGTTGCATATCTAACACATGAGCTGTGTCGTGGTCCCAAGGCCATATTTGCTGACTAGTACGTTGGACCCCTCTCATTAACCACGTCATTTTCCACTTGGTCATTTTGGTCAGCTATTATGACATTACCCCCTGATGGAGAGGGACCTTGTCCCCAAGGTCAAAATGGGGGTAGAGTTGTTGTAATTCTGAAACATACTCCCACATGGCCGCTGGTAAGCCATCCCAAGTAACCAAAACCTGAGGGACCTAGTGGTCATCTTTCAATACAGTACGAACATCAAAAAATGATAAAGGTTGTGCAATGGGACCCTTAGTTCAATGAGTAAAGGCGGAGAAACATATGGGGAAATATTAGGGCCTTCATATTTCTTGAGCAACAAGACATGGAAGACGAAGTGAATACAAGCATATGCCAGAAGTTGAAGTTTGTAAGCCACCATGCCAACTTTTCACACAATTGGAAAAGGACCAAAATAACGCATGACGAGCTTCTGATGCTTACTAATTGCGATTGAGTACTGCTTATAAGGTTGCAATTTTACAAAAACAAAATCACCAACATCAAAATGGCCCTCTATTCGTTTAGCATATGTAAATTTCTTCATACAATCTTGTGCCTTTATTAGATTTTGTTTCAGTCTAGTCAGCAACTGATCCCTCAATTGTAAGTTTTTTGCTAAATCCAGTGGCATATCAACTGAATAACCAACCAGGAGGAGCATGGGTGGATCGCGCCTATAGACAGCCTTAAATGGAGTCATTCTGATGGTCATATGAAAAGCTATATTATGCCAATAGTCTGTCCAAGGAAGATAATCAAGCCAGTGTCTAAGATAATCAAACACATAATATCTTAAATACATTTCCAAGCATTTGTTTAGGACCTTAGTTTGGCCATCTGATTGAGGATGGTAGGTAGAACTCATGTGTAATAGTGTACCATGCAACTTCATGAGGTGTTTCCAGAACATACTAAGGAATACCTTATCCTTGTCAAAAACTATCGTCTTGGGAAACCCATAGAGTTTCACTACAGAATGAAGGAAAGCATTAACAACCTGAGCACCATTGTAATCAGTCTTCAAGGGCACAAAATGAGCATATTTTGATAGTCGATCAATTACCACAAAGATCACAGTGAAACCCTACACCAGGGGGAGCACCACAATAAAAATTAATTGAAATGTCTTCCCATATCTGTTAGGGCACTGGAAGAGGAGATAACAAACCTACAGGGTACACTTGAATGGATTTAGCTCACTGGCACACTACACACTTTTGGACAAAATCCTTCACATCCTCCCCCATATTGGGCCAATAAAAATAAAAATGAGCAGTCACTTGCTAAAGAGTGCACAATATACCTACATGACCCCCCAAAGGCGACGAATGGAATTTAATCAAAATCTTCTGAATGAGCTCAGGGCAATTAGGTAGTACTACTAGATGACTATTCTAGCGCAAAAAGTCATCAAGTGGAACATACCCAGCAACAGGGGATTGATGAAACTGGGCGACATGATGCTAGATGGTTGTCGATTGTTTTGCAACGGCCATGATTTCATCAATGAGAGAAGAGGTGACATGTACCATGGCAAAACATGTGATTGGGGACAGCACGTTGGCTGCTGCATTTGTTTTCCCTAGCTTATACTTAATGGTATAATCGTAGCTTATTAACTTGGGGAGATGGGCCTCTTGCTCAGGTGTCTACATAGCTTGTCCACACAAATATTTCAAGCTTTCCTAATCAGTCTTAATGATGAAGCGTTGATCAATTAAGTAATGTTGAAACTTTGCAACTGCTTGAGTAATGGTAAACAATTCCCTCACATAAGAAGACTAACCCTGCATCCTAGGAGATATTTGTTTCAAGAAATAAGCAATGGGTGCCCATTTTGACTTAGCACTGCCCCTATGCCTTTCCTTGATGCATATATTTCTAAAATGAATGGTTGAGAGAAATCCAGCAAAACCAACATTGGAACGTGTGTTAGGGCCAGCTTAAGTCAGTCAAGAGCCGTCTGAGCTTCTAGTGACCAAATGAATATGTCTTTATGTAGAAGTTTAGTGAGAGGGCTAGCAAGCTCTACCTACCCTCTGCTAAAACATCGATAGTAGCTAGATAACCTTAGGAATCCTCTTAACTAGGTAACTGTACATGGTACTGGCCAGTGTTTGATGGCTTCCACCTTAGTGGAGTCTACATCCACTCCTTTAGTTGAAATTAGGTGGCCCAAGTATTCAACCCGTGTGCAACCAAATGAGCATTTAGAAAGTTTTATGAATAACTGTTATTTTGCCATTACCCTTAGAGTACCCACATGTAGTAACTATTATTGTCACGTGGTACTGTAAATAAGTATATCATCAAAGAAAATTAGACAAATTTTGTTAGAAATGGTAAAAAAAACAAAATTCATTAGTGCCTAAAATGTAGCTGGCTCATTTGTGAGACTAAATGGTATGATCAACCATTCATACAACCCTTAATAAGTCATGAATACCATCTTCTCCCTATCTTCTGTACATCTTAGAATTTGATGATAGCCGCTCATAAATCCAACTTGGAATAGTAGGCTGAGCTTCACAACTCATCCAAAAACTTATCCACAGTAGGCATTAGGAAAGAATCTTTAACTGTGATTACGTTTAATGCCTTGTAATCAACACAAAATCACCAGGCACCATCCTTCTTCTTAATTAGGATGAATGGGGCTTGAAAAGGACTTCAACTTTGCTGAATCAGACCCTCTTGTAGTAGTTCCTCAGCTATTTTCTTAATCTATGCTTTCTGGCTAAATTGGGTATCTGTATGGTCGAACTTTTGCTAACCCTGTTCTTGGTTCTAGACAAATCTGGTGTTCATGATCTTGTGGTAGTAGTTACCCCTTGGGATTCTAAAAGACTTGTATATATTGGTTTAGTATGGCCCTTAGGTCATTAGGTAACTCCTCCAGAAATAGTGTTGCCTCAGTATTGCTGCTCTCATTCGTATCTAATTATAGCATGAAGCATTCAGACACCACCTCAATATTTACCAATTGTTGTAATTGGTGTAGCTCTGCTTGGTTAATGTAGGGGTGAGTGAGTCCCAGAAACATGATGAATTTGCCATCATTAAAGAACTTAATCTTAGCCTAACCAATAGTGTAGTCAGCTATATATGGCCCCAAGGTAGCTAGCCATGAAGCTCCTATTACCACATCCAACCCTACAATGGGTAGTACATAAGCTGGCATACCTAAGGTGTGGCCCTGTTTCTGTAACCGCAAGTCCCTAATGACCCCTTCACCTTTCATCGCATAGCCATTGCTAATTATCACTTTAATGTTTTTCACTGTTTTAACCTGTAGGGATAGATGCTAAGATATGCGGGGATGTATAAAACTATCTGAACTACCCCCGTCCAGCATAATTTGTACAATCGTGCTATTGATGGATCCCTCAAACCAAATTGTCACCTTGCCCTGTCAACCTTGATATGCTTGTAAAGAGAGGTGATAAATTGTTCACTTCCCCTTCCAATGGATTTGCCTCGGTTCCCGTTAATTCATCCCCTTCGTCGTATTCAAGAATCATACATTGTCGATTTGGAGGGGGATGTATGGGAGAGAATTTTTCGCCATAGGTGTAGCACAACCCTTTCTCCCTCTATACCAACATGTCAACAGATGTCATCTTTTTCACTAGAGCCAAAGGTTTGGAAGTAGGTGTAGACAACAAAGGCAGCAGAGATGATTTTAGGGTCAAGTTTACCCCAGATAAAAGAGTAGTGGTACTTTCATATCCCTTACTCGTTACTCTGCTTATATTCCAACTTGGGCCTATCAGTTTGGAAGATCCCGGGTTTGGGCCAACCTTCACATAAAAAATTTTGGTGAGCTTTGTGGCGCTGAGAAGGTTACTAGGTTTTTGGGTCACCACATCACGTCTCATCTCAAGTTTGAGTCCTCCTGTGAAACAGTCCAAAAGTGCTTCCCCTGACACCCCTTTCGTTCTATTAGCCAACACTAGAAACTCTCGGCAATGTTCTTCCCTTGAATATATTTGCATTAATTTGAACAATCTAACCCTAAGTTGATCATAAGGTGAGGGGCTGAGCTCATCCTTTATTGCCCTTGGCAACGAATTCCAATCCATGATCACCTTCAGTTTGTGTAACATCTGAAACCAAGGAATGATGTCCCCTTCAAAATTGATGAACGTAACGCTCACCTGTTGAAAATTTAGGGTTTAATAGTAAGCACAGTACTATTCTGCTTTAAATATGCACGTCGTGGGATCCGTGCTACTAAATTTTGAAAAATCTAGCTTAATGTGCTTCAGTGACTGTAATGAACTACACCAGCTTGATCCTTCTCCCCCTCGCTCTTGATGGGAAGACGGGATGGTTCAACCCAGAGATCCAATGGCAGCTTCGAAGTTATCAAAATGCAGGTTCAAAGCTCTTAGTAGAACTTCCAAGGCATACTCCAATCTATGGAAGCGTTGTTTCGTATGTGATTTGAGCCCATCCATTCGTTCCCGCATGGCGGTCTCCATTTGACCCACATATTCAGTCATTGTCTTCATCTCAGCCTGTAGATCTTTAAACCTTGTTCCCTCTGCCATGGTATAGTTCTGGAGCTCCATTCTTAATGAGAGCACCAAAATATTTTATGTTCTAATAATTCAACAGTAAAGTAAGCAGCTATAACAAATAATGGACCAGAAATCTGAATATATTATTAATATTGGATGTATATGAAGGTCTACAAATGAACAATCCAGATATAGAAATATCAGTCACAAAAATATAAAAGATCCTAGAAACAGAATTCACCAGAGAGGACAAAAGGAAGAAGAAGTACTGCCAGAAGAAGAAATCCAGACGGAGGAGTTAGAGAATAATCACCAAAAACCCGCCTTTCTCTCACCCTTCTAAGGACCTTATAATATATTCTCTCAACTTTCCTTCAACTTCTAGGCTACGTGTCTAACACGTGAGCTGGGCCGTGATCCAAGGCCATATTTGTTGACTCACTCATTGAACCTCTCTCATTAACCACGTCATTTGCCACTTGGTCATTCTGGTCAGCGATTATGACAACTTGACCAAAGTTTTTTTCTTTTGATTCTAAAATCGAGATTTATTCTGACTCCCTTAATAAATCAACGACTTACTGGTCAGAGACAAATGAATATTAAAATCCATCTTTCCTTTCTCTTTTCCTTTGCTTTTTGGGATTTATTTAATAACCACGAGACGTGGTGAGAGGCAAACATTATTGGTGCTTAGGTTGTCTTATTCACAGACTCACAAATTAAATGGGATATGATAGTGGGGTGGCTGATTATTTTCTATACAATAATGCTGACCTTTGGTCCAATTGGGATATGTGAATTGTGAAGTATTGATTATTAATTATATCAACATAATAATCTCCCTTTGCGCCAATTACATCTATGGCTTCCAAGTTCTCAAGTTTTTCTTCCTTCATGCTTGTTTTTCTTCCGCTTCTTCTTTCTCAAGGTATCAACAGACCGATGCTTATCGCTATGCAGGGCAATTTCTTAATTTTCTTAGTTATCACACAGTTATATTTTTTAAATGGTAAAAATGGATCCTTACTTCTTTAATTTTAAACAAAAGTTTATAAATAAACAATTTATAGTCCTGGTCTAGATTAGTCATGATGGTTAGTAGTATCACAAATAAAGTTCAAAATGTTAAAGATAAATTTAAAGGAATAAAGTTTGATATTTGTTTTTTTTTTAATGTGAATGTTAAAACTTAAATAAATAAACACATTTAAAAAAAAGAAAAGGAAAAAGAAGAGAAACATAATTCGTGGTCTAAGGGGGTAGGTCCAACTTTATATATATATATATATATATATATGTATATAACATATCTCGCCTGTTGTATTGATGATTACCACCAAGTTTGGCCGGGAAAGTTCAACAATAGGGGCCAAATAGCCATCGTTTACTTTTCAACAACAAAAGAAAAATCAAACGCCGTACATCTGCAGTATCGTGGGGTATTAATTATTATCCACAATTTTGGTGATATTGATCTCTCTATGTATCTTATTCTGAAATCTCCAGCTTTCAATTATTGAAAGAAAGGCATGGAGATTCCCAAGCTCTGCTTCCTTCGAGCTTTTCTCTTCTTGCTCTTCCTTCTTGGGGGGTCTGCACAGAAATCCCACTCTCGCATATTTGGAGAATACATAGGAGCAAAGTTTAAGAATGTGAAATTCTCTGATGTCCCCATCAACCCAAATGTCCGGTTTCACTTCATTCTCTCCTTCGCCATTGACTATGATTCCTCTGCTTCTCCTTCTCCCACCAACGGCAAATTCAACGTTTTCTGGGACTCTGGCAATCTTAGCCCCTTTCAAGTTTCTTCCATCAAAACCCAACACTCCAATGTTAAGGTGCCAATTAAGTGCTTCATGTGAATTCCCTTTTTTGTCTTCAAAAATTTCATGAATAGATACTAACACCTCTCGTTCTTTTATCAAGCTTATGAAGAACATGTCGTCCCAATTGATTGTGAATTGTGATTCACTTTTTTTTTAAAAAAATTATATCCGTGGGTTCTTATATTGTACAAAATCTTGAAAATAATTTCCACTGTTATGGACTGACCATGATTATGTAGATTGCTATGGTAACTAATGAAAGCTTTTTTAATGACTGGGAGTTCGCAAATTTCATCCTGCTAATATAAGATCCCTAATATAAGATCCCAATCCATTTTATCCCTAATATTTATATATTTGTTCCCAAGATAGTCCTTCTAATAATGGTAGTTCTAGCCAACACACTTGATTAGCGAGGATATTTTAGTAAATACAATACTTATTTATTACAAATAACTAACTTAACTTATTTTTTTAATCTTCTCAAATTAGTCAATTAGTTCTTATAATTAGAAATTCTTATAATTAGGAAAGGAGGTAGTATTATGTACCCACTGCTACATGTATATATCTTATACATGTGTGTGTGTCTGCGCAAATATATTTATGATTAAGGAGTTATATTATTGGGCGTTGGATCCTTCCTTTCCTCCTTTCGTCTGCTTTTTGGGATTTGTTTAATAATCACGGGTGGGAGATATTTGATGTGCGACATGTGAGAGGAAGACAATATTATTGGTGCTTAGGTTTGGTTCCATTCATAGAATATCTTTATTTATTAGACTTATGCAACATTGGGATCTGCGTGATGAGATGCCTAACTATTTTACATACAATAATGCTAACAACCGCGCTCCTTTCGAATCAAGCTCTTCCTTGCCAATTGGAACATGTGTAATAATACTAATACTGGTTTCTATCTCTAATATAAAATCTGGTTAATTAATTTAGGTAAATTAATAAAAATAATTAAATTATTAACTTGTCAAAAAATATGCGTAATTTCTTTAAACTATCCTCTTAAATCATGATATTATTAATTATTGATGAGTTAAGATCACTTTTGGCTTTAAGTATTTCACAAAGAAGTTATGATTATTTAGGAATTTTTTCTCCCTAAGTCCACATTACTTCAAAAGTGTTAAAAAATGAACAATTCCTTCCTTTTCCGTTAACAACCAACGTTAGTCTTTTAACGAAAATAGCTAATATTGTTCTCTATCATGTCTAACATTTTGTGCTAATTACATCTGTAGCTTCCCAGTTCTCAAGTTTTGCTTCTCTTAGGCTTTCTTCTTCTTCTTCGTCGTTAAGGTACGTATGAACAGATGCTTATCCCTCTCCAGGACGTGAAATTCTGTCATTTCACACTAAACTCAAATTAGCTAAAACTTCAATAAATATCAATTCATTCTGTCTTTTGCTACTGACTATTAATAGGCCTCTAATTCTCCATGTCTCCCACCAATATTGATTTTTTTTTTGGGACAATTCCTTGAATAATGATTGATGAATGGTAGATGTTTTCCCTCTTTATGATAAGACAAATGTATTAAAATATTATAAAGTTCAGTACATCATGAGGAAGAACATCGATCCCTTCAATTTTCTAAGTTATAACGTTAATATAAATTTGCATTGCTTCTTTAACTTAACTTTAAATTTTATATAACTACCAGCTACTGTTCTGATTGGGATTAGTCATAATAGTTAGTAGTTCCACGGATACCAAATGGAAAAGTTGAAAAAGAAAAGAAAGAAATAAAGAAAGAAGCATAAGTCATACTTTTCGTCCTTGCAGAGAACATATTCCTCATGAGTTTGGTCCACACACTTTAATTTGATCGCTGTATTTGTTGAATACTATCTCTGGTTTTATTATAAAACCCTTACAAAAAAAATCTTATAATTAGAATCGGATATAGTATTATTGAATTGTTTGGTTCAGCTACTTGCACAAATTTCTTCTATCTTTATCTTCCTCACTTCTCACCCCAATCTAAAATGTCAAAATAAATTCGAAGGGCTTAAACTTAATATATTGTTTTTCAAAAGAAAATATATATTATGTGAATGTTAAAACTTAAAATAAAGAAATTAATACATTTAAATTATACGCATTTGATTTGAACAATAAAGAAAAGAAAAGGAGGAACATTATTACTCCTTAAACGAGGTAGGTCCAACGACACACACACACACACACACACACACATATCGCCCGTTGTATTGATGATTACCACCAAGCTGGGGCAAGAAAGTTGAAAGATAGTGATGAAATAGCAATCTTTTACTTTTCAATAACAAATGAAAAATCAAATGCACGTATTACTCCAGCTGTGGTGCTATAATTTCATAAGAATTTTAATCTGAATTTAAGTATATGTATCAAAACTGAAACTTGTTCAAAGTATAGGAACTATTTGTTAAATTCAAACTATAAAACTATAAAATTATAAAGATCAAAACCAATAATTTAAAATTAAAGAGATCAAAATCAAAATTCAACAAAACTATAATGACTAATATAATAACAACACTAAGCTGAAGAACTATGAAGGAGGGAAGGTTTTGGTGAGTTTTATAAGTAGTGGAAGTGGAGGGTTAGGTCCAGAAGGTGGATTCTTCACAGCTTGTCATAGGCTCCAGAGTGAACAAAAGCTTCATGGGATTTTTGTTTGGTCTGCTGATGATTCCATGGCTAATGGTTTTCGTTATGAGAAACAGTCACAAGCCCTTTTAGCGACTTCAAACTAAGGGCTTTGTTGTGAGTATATGTGTGTATATTTATGTTAAACACCTATATACTTTTTCAATACTTAATAAAAGGCCTATTTTATTTATAATTTATGCTGTGGGTATATGTGTTTGTATATTTATGTTAAATATATAAACCCTTTCAATTCAATAACTAAATAAGACCTATTTTATTTGTAATTTATACTACCTCTAGTCCTAATTATAAGAGTCAGTTAACTAATTTGAGGAGATTAAGGAAGTGAGTTGAGTTAGTTATTTGTCATAAATAAGTGTTGTCTTTCCTAAAATATCCTTGCTAATCAAATATATTGACTGGAACTATCATTGTTAGAAGGGTTACTACTTTGAAAAAATGTATAAATATGAGAGACAAAGTGAATTGGGGTCTTATATTTAGGACCAAAATAAAAGTCAAATAGGGTCTCATATTAAGGACTAGAGGTAGTATTATCAAATAAGTCTTACATTTAGGACCAGAAATATTACTACCTCTGGTCCTTAATACGAGACCCTGTTTGATTTTTATTTTGGTTGTAAATATAAGACCCCAATCCACTTTGTTTTTTATATTTATGCATTTGTTTCTAAGGTAATTTTTCTAATAATGGTGGTTCTAACTAACACATTTGATTAGCAAAGATATTTTAGTAAATATAATACCTATTTATTACAAATAACTAATTTAGCTTATTTTTTAATCTTCTTAAATTAGTCAACTACCTCTTATAATTAAGAACAGAGATAGTATTATGTATCTACTTCTACATGCATATATCTTATACATATGTGTGTGTGTTTCTGCGTAAATATATTCATGACTAAGGAGTTATATTATTGGGCATTGCATCCTTCCTTTTCTCCTTTCGTCTGCTTTTTGGGGTTTGTTTAATAATCACGAGTGGGAGATACTTGGTGTGCGACATGTGAGAGGCAGACGGTACTACTGGGGCTTAGGTTTGCTTCCGCTCACAGAATATCTTTACTTGTTAGACTCATACGACATTGGGACCTGCGTAAGATGCCTAACTATTTTTTCCTATGCAATAATAATGCTAATTAACAATTGCTCCTTTCAAATCAAGCACTCCCTTGCCAATTGGGACGTGTGATACTAATTTCTATTTTTAATATAAGATTTATTTAATTAATTTAGGTAAATTAAAAAAAATAATTAAATTAGTTATTTGTCAAAAATGTGTTAATTTCTCTAAAATATCATCTTAAATTTTAAAATCATGATGGTATTAATTATTGATGAGTTAAGGGTCATTTTTAGCTTTAAGTATTTCAACGAAGGAGTTAGGGAAGATTTTATTTTAGGACCACTGTAGCTAATTAATATCAATCAGTTCCCAAAACATTTCAAAATTTCAGTTGACTCCCTTAGACCAAAATAAAATATAATAATACTCTTCCATTTTTTTATAAAAGATAAATATTAATTGTTAACGAAGCTCTAGCCACTAGCGCTCAAGTGACAAGCATCGAAAGTCAGAGCTTTAGTGGCCAAATGATTTTTTTTTTGAAAAAAAAAAGGGATGGCCAAGGGGAGTTTGGAATCTATGATCCCTTAGCATATAAAAAATAATATGGCTACCAAGCCAATCATATCATTTAGTCATATAATGCAAAATATATATATATACTACCTTTAGTCCTAATTATAAGACCTCGTTTGTAGTCTACAAACAAGATCTTATAATTAAGATTGAAGGTAGTGTATAGCAAAACAAATACAAGTATCTAAGTATAAATGAATGAGTGAAATTCAATAATTTACGAATAAACTTTAGTAATTTACAACAAAAATTTGGTGATTTACAAATAAAATAATAGAATTCACAATTTCAAATACAAGTGTTTAGGTGTGAATAAGGAAGTGAAATTCGAATGTTTATAACAAAACTTCAATGATTTACAACCCAAATTTGACAATTCATAACAAACATAAGGGAATTCACAACTCTAAATGTAAATATTTAAGTGTAAATGAACAAGTAAAATTCAACGATTTATAATAAAAATTCAACAATTTATAACTAAAATTTGACAATTCACAAAAAATACAAACACTTATATTAGAGGTTGCGAAACATTTAAAAAAAAATCCGCCGGCCAACAAAGTTCTTATGACAATTAATATTTATTTTTTAAAAAAGAAGGGGTATTATTATAATTTTATCCTTAAATTTTAATTTTATTTTGGCTTTGGAATTGACTAAAATTTTGAAATGTTTTGAAAGTTAACTGATGTTAACTAGTTACAGTCGTCTAAAATAAAATTTTTAAAGAGTTATAATTATTCAGAATTTAACCCGACATTACTTCAAAAGCGTTGAGAAAAAGGACAATGTCTTCCTTTTCCGATAACAACCAACGTTAATCTTTTAATAAAAATAGCTAATATTTTTTTAATTTCTAAAAAGGTATTTGAGTAAAAACTAAATCATAGTTTTAAACGTAATTTTATAATATATAAAATAAATATGTAAAAAAATCTGTCAAAAAATATTTTTTATTTC